TAGTGACAGATGGTGTATCGTTACCTGGTCTATCGGAGAAGGTCGTGTATCAGACTAGTTTCAGCAGCCTTCATTACTCAAACAACAAGCCAGCTAGGGTCTTTAGTTTTCCAGCTAAGCGCATGAGCGGCTACAAAACTCAAGATGCTGAGGCCAATCGAGACTTCGACATGAGTCTCAAGCATTTGAATGATTTAGCTAGGATACAGAAGTACCGATGCGGCCTTTGCTATTGCCAGCTGACCGAAGAGACAGCTTCTGTTGACCGAGTTAATAACAAGCTTGGTCATATTGATGGTAATATCTTAATTAGCTGCATCAAATGCAATACTGCTCGCAAGGACATGTCACTCAGAGGTTTCTGGTTTAACAAACTCCTTGAATTCAACTCAAATAGACTCGTCTTCTCAATTGATAAATAGGAGAAGGAAATCTACGCTAAAATGAAGGTCAACACTGCCGGTGGACCGTCTATCATCTATAACAGATATGCTAAGCGCAACGAGACTACCATTCGAGGCGGTAAACTCTGTAAGAAGATATTCGGATACGTTGCGAACCCTCTTTACCTATGGACTCTCGGAAACGAAATGCCTTGTGGTCGGTTGACTACTATCGAGGCTCATCCTGGCATTGTCGATTGTCACGGTGTACAGTTAGACGGTGGATTAACGATGCTGGCTGACTGCCTGCAGAAGGTCTACTCACTCCAGACTCTCCGGACCACGTCCAAGCAAGCGGGACCTGCGGCCGAGACAGTGACGTTCCAAGTGTGAAGTCGTGGAGCAGCTGGTCGTGGCGGGAATTGGAGCTGGACCGCCACGCACGAGGGATCTGACAAAAGGTAAGAAGCTCTAAAAACTCTTAGCGAGGTGAAACGAGGAAGTCAGTCGTGGATTTCCTTCTAACAAGAAACACAAGAATATATCAACTTTTACATTACTATCACAGTAGTGTCGCTAATACTACTACCTCCTACTTCGGCCCAAGATACTCACGACCCCGATTAGAGGAAAACCGCGACAATTTGGTGGAGAAGC